GAATTATAAAATAAAAGAAAAGTAAATTATTAAAATCAATGAAAAATATGTAAAATTAGATTGTAGTGAAAGATATTAAAAATTGAATTATAATAATTTAAATTTTAATATTTAATTTAATAATTTATTCAAATATTTATAACTTGATTCTAATAAAAATGGGTATGTGAGACAAACACCAGCGACCATATTATAAAACTTAGGCATAAATTTATATACAATATTAGATAAATAAAAGCATAATTAAAAGAATAAAAATATTTTTTTATGAATTTCAAACTTATCGTATATCTATTTTGAGTTTTTTTTTTTTATATAAGCTTTAAAAAAAAAATAGATGTCAATATTAAAAAATTAAAAATTAAAAAATAAAAAATGCACGTAACTATAAAAGCAGCCTAAATATTTAAATCCGAAATCGGAAAACTTTCATAACCGGAGGGAATCCACAGAACTCCCGCCAAATGCCAAATTTCAAATATCTCAAATACAGCTTTTGAATTTCGAGCCAACGCCAAAATTCTCTCGATAAAATCGCCGGATCTCCCCTCTCTCATCACGCAGCTCACAGCACACTACTCCAAACCCCTGCAATCAGCTCTTCATCTTCCCTAACCGGCCGCTGCTTGAGCTTTTCCAGCACTCCAACCAGAGAATGTCTGGCCGTGGTAAGGGAGGCAAGGGGCTGGGCAAAGGAGGCGCCAAGCGTCACAGGAAGGTTTTGAGAGATAACATCCAAGGAATCACGAAGCCGGCTATCAGACGTCTGGCTAGGCGTGGTGGAGTAAAGCGAATCAGCGGCCTGATCTATGAGGAGACTCGTGGAGTTCTCAAGATCTTCCTCGAGAACGTAATCCGCGATGCGGTGACCTACACCGAGCACGCTCGCCGTAAGACTGTCACCGCCATGGATGTTGTTTATGCACTCAAGCGCCAGGGAAGGACTCTCTACGGTTTCGGCGGCTAATTTTCATCGGGAAAAAGATCGTTCAATGTTTATTTTTAGTTTATTGTTTTTTAAATTTTGTTATCAGTCTTCGTTTTGCTGGTTTGGAGTTTAGAGACGAACAAGTGACGTTGATGGATTATCGGATTTGTATTAGTCGGGAAATGTTTATTTAAAGAAAGTTTTAGTCATAATTGTAAATTACGCGCGTCTTTCCATTTGACCTTTTCTCCCTGAAGCTCTGAGTTGTACCAGCGGGGGCAAATTAGTCATCTCGCTAGAACTATCCAGAATCGTCAACTCTAATTTCTGAGGTACAATCTTATCTGCAGCGGTGTCACGTGATTTAGTCACGTGATCTCGTCGTGAGTTTGCACAGATCCATCCATGGCTCAAACCTCTGAATCAGAGATGGGAAAAAAGAGTCCTGCAACTTCACCTTTGATTTGTCAAGAAAGGAAGCTGTAATATCGTTTTGTTTATTTTAAATTTTTATATGTATTATTCAGTGAATAACGGAAAAGCTTGAATAATACTTAAGCTATGGTTGTCTAGTTGTTTTCAGTTTACAAGGACCATTTACCTGTATACCAGAATTAGTAAATCGCCTTACCAACTTTTAGCCCTAAGCCTGAATAAAAAAACAACTTTAAGCTATCTCCCAATCTTCTTTTCCTATCTATTTTGGATCTTGGTTTTTCATTAGTGGGTACTGCTAGATGGTTTGATTTTGGCAGATCGTGGAGGGAAATGCTAGGGGCCATCCAGTTCGGAGTGCTGGCTGCTTGTATTGTGCTGTTTGTGCCGATGGGAATGGCGGGCTGGCACTTGAGCAGGAACAAGATGCTCTTCTTTAGTGGTGCGCTGTTCATTACTTTGGCGGTATGCGTCCACTTAACTCCATATTTTCCATCTGTTACTGATCTTGTGGCATCTGTTTCGTCTGTGGTTGTGTATGACAATCGCAATTACTGCATTAATTTGGTTAACGATATCGTCTGGGAGGTTAAGCCGAGGAGTGATGTGGAATTGGTTAATATGAATGTTTCTAAATTGGATTATTATGAGAAGAGGTGGGATTGGGCCAAATCCAGGAAAGTGGGTGCTTGCGGGTTTCAGAAATTGGATAAATCTGATGCTTCGGATTTGCTCAATGGTTCTTGGGTTGTTGTGGCGGGTGACTCACAAGCGCGGTTTGTTGCCTTATCACTGTTGAATTTGGTTTTGGATTCTGATTCAGGGCGGATGAATTCCATTAGAAGTGATTTGTTTAAGAGGCATAGTGATTATAATATTGTGATTGGTGAAATAGGCATGAAGCTGGATTTTATCTGGGCACCATATGAGATGAATTTGACTGATATGGTCATGAGTTTTAATCAAAGGAGGAAATACCCTGATGTTTTGATGATGGGAGCTGGCTTGTGGCATATGCTGCACGTTACAAATGCCACTGATTATGGTTTTCATTTAAAAAATTTGAGGAGTTCGGTGGAGTCTTTGTTACCATTTTCACCTGAGCTGGGCGCAGATGGGCCTGTCACTGGTTCTGTGTCCATCAGGTCGCCACATTTGTTCTGGATTGGCATGCCTATGTTGATTAATGGGATGTTGAATACAGAGGAGAAGAAGGAGAAGATGAATGATGAAGTGTGGCATGTTTATGACAGAGCACTTGGAGCCAGTAAGCTCTTGCGACAAACTGGTGGTCCCCTTGTTTTGCTGGATATACAGTCATTCACTTGGAATTGTGGACCTCGTTGTACAGATGATGGTATGCATTATGATAAAGTTGTTTATGAAGCTGCCATTCATATCATGCTTAATGCATTGCTCATTGAATCTCATCAGACACTCTGAAGGAAATATTTTTAACTTTGCTCTTAAATATATGTTCCCTTGCGGTTTTGGAGGTTAGAAAATGGTTCTTTAGTGGATTCAAGGCAGGTGATCCTTGAGTGGGTTGAGTTTCTTCTCCTAAGGGCATTATTAATTCTTGCCTGGTTCTTCTCTTGGCTTCCAGAGATTTAACTGATGAATACAATTTTTGGTTGGTAGATGCAAATCGAGATTCATTTTTCCTTGTACCTTTTTTTTTGTGTCTGAATACTGATTACTTACACTGCTTGTACCTTATAGCCAGTTAACTGTGTATGACACATTCAATTTTGATGTGAATGCATATAACTATTTCCACAACTACAAGGTACATCATCTGCACTATATTACAATCACAGAGATTACACTGACTTTTTCCTCATTGATTTAAGGTATTGCTTTTTGAGATTGTATTTTGCAGTTGTATGCAATCATGTTGAAGAACTTAAGTGAACAATCTTGTCACCTTTGATTTTAATTATCTCTTGTAGCTTATTTTCGTCATCAAATTGGTCATAGCTCTTGTTCTTATGGTCCTTGAAGTTTTTTATAAATTGATAGAGAGGTTTGGTACTGTATGGGATGTATGCTGGAGAAACCCCTAAGTTACAGCCTCAAGCTCAAGCTATTGGTCTGAAAAGAAGGAAGAACAATTTGGAGTATTGTCCTTCTATGATCATGCTGCAGGAGTCTACAATAATTCTAGGTTTGTGATCAGCCTCTGCAATCCTCCTTTTGTCCCTCTATGATTCATGCAAGAAGATACTTTAATAGAATTGAGGATGAGTTGGCTTTTGGATAATTGGCTTGCTTGCTTAAGTTAAAGGCTGACTTTATTGCTAGAAGAATGAAAGATAGATAAATTTACATATTCTTGAATTACTGATTTTGAAATCCATAGTTTCATGGAAGGAGCAATTTCTTGGTTTTGAAATCCATAGTTTCATCCAAGGAGTAAAAGGTAAAGTTTGCTTAACTTTGATTTGGTTGGATTTCCAAGTTTGTTGTGCTCCACCAAAATATAATTCATTTTGAAGTCAGTATTTGAACACGTTTTTCAATGAATGGAGATTTTTATAGGCCTATGCGAGTAACAAGGACAATTCAGTTTTTGTAGTTGGCAGGTGTAAGAGGTGTTTTTTTGGATATTTATTGATGTAATGTTTTCTGATTGCTGATTATTATAATAGGTGGATTTTCACCAGAGTGTTATTGCTTACAGCATTGTCTTGGGTGTTTTTTTAGAAATGCTCAGGTAATTTGTTCTACGATTTTTCTCTACTAACGCACTGCTAGGGCTTTCATTTTAGCATGTATGCTTATGATGTATCAATGTTTCATCTAGTGATAGGCTGGTAAGGGATGATGGAAGTAAACAAACAGGCATGTTTTAGCCAGATTTGAAGTTATATTAGTTTCATGCAACTTGAAAACAATAGTCACTGATAAAATAAAGGAAAAACTTTTATCTGTTAATGCTTATTCAAGCATGACCTGGCTTGAATTGGTTCAATATTTTAAAGGTCATTTGTTACAAAGCATGGAGCTGATTTTGATCTTGAAGTTGGTGTCTCAAGCTCTAATAAAATTACTCAGTTTTACATGTTCATGTAATTATGTTAATTATTTTCCTTCGTTCTAATTGTTTGACAGTTTCTGTTAGTGGTCCGCTGGGTTGCCCTTCAGCATCAGTTTTAGGCCTACCAACTTAAGAGATCATTACACCTTAAACCACAAAGGCTGCAAATGGTATTAATTGCTTGATGGGTGAAACAACATGCGAAAGACTAACCTTTTCTCTGCTCGATATTTTTTTTTTCTCAAGCAGTATTTGGCTTATTTAATGCTTGAATCCGGATAAGGAAGTCTCGCAAATGGAATACTACACTGTGCCACTGGTGCAGCACTAGGCATGTAGTCTGCTTCTTAGTTACATACTTTGAATACCAAGTCTATCTCTGAGATTCGTAGTTTTCATGGTTTAGCTACTTTATGTAGGAGATTCATTAGAGGGTTAGTACTATTATGGCTCCCATAACAGTTTGTTTTAAGAAAAGGGAGTTTCAATGGACTACTGTGGCTGCTAGGGCTTTTAGTGATATTAAGCAAAAGATGACTGAAGCACCTGTTTTGGGGCATCCTGATTTGAGTCAAGTTTTTGAGGTTGCTTGTGATGCATCTGGAATAGGAAGAGGGGAGGTGTCTTAAGTGAAAAACTCAATGAGGCTAAACGGTAAGTATTCTACATATGATGAGGAGTTTTATGCTGTGGTCCAGCCCCTTTGCCATTGGAGGAATTATTACCTCAAACCATGCTCGCTATAGATGAACATGTACTTTGGTTTCCGTTCCAACGAGACTATCTCAAGTTCTCTTATGGCTTGCCTTTTGCTGTATCTGCTTTGATGGTTTCAGGTATTGAGCTTTTATGGATCTGCATTGGAAGATGATTTAATATTTGAAGCATTCGGTACAGGTACTATTATATGCAATTAAGATTAATGCATCATTTTCATTATGAAGATTTGGTGAAAAAGAAAGAAAAAGTTTCTGGGAAGAATGAATGCAAATCCGGGTGGTCTTAGAGACAACTGATATGCAAAATTGATCTAAACAAGTAGCTGATGAAATTCTGCTTGAACTGTTTCGTGCACTATTGGAGTAAGTCTATTATTTTGGAAAACTATACAGCCCTCTAATCATGCATTTACATTTATTGTAATTTTAAAATATTTTATAAAATTCTTCTATAAAAAATTTATATTTTAATTAAATTTATATTTCTCGTGTATATTTATTTTCATGGATAGGGGAAAATATTCTTGAGAAGAGGGAGTTCAGTGCTTTTTAGTTAAGCGGCTTTTAGCTCAGGGAGCAGGGTTTTTAATTAAAGCTGGTAGATTTCGTACCTTGTCTTTTGGAATTTCAAGATGTTTCTTGATTTTTTTTTTTTTTCAATTTCTTTTTTCATTTAGTCCCTCATTTTTTGAATTATTGTAATTAAATTTTATTTTTTATTTTCTCTAAATCAAAATTTTAACTTAATTACTAAAATAAATAGATTTTCAAATAAGTTTCCATCAGGTGACAATCATATTGTCAATTTATACTGCCAAAAGGATTGGTGTATTTTATTTAAAATTTTATCCATTTGAAGGCATTTAACTCAATCCATTGAAGACTATTTTCCGTCTTACTCTCCAGTTTTTTACTCGGTGCAGGTATATTCTATTAATTTTTTGTTTGAATTTTTGGTAAATTTAATCTACGCGATAATCGTGTCATTAATTTTTAATAATATGATTATTATATTGTGATGATATGTTTAAAAAATTTATTTATTTTAATAGACAGTCCAGTTAAAATATTTATTTAAAAAATAAAAAATGAAATATTTAAGTAAAATGATTTAAAAAATTAATTTTTATAATTAAAAATAAAAACCAATTTCATTTTATTATTTGTAAAACATGCTTTTTTAGAAACCTCTTACAGCATTCTTGTTGCATTTGTAGGTATCGGGATTTTAAATCTCCAGCTAAATAACTTTTTCACATCGCTTCAAATGCCCTTCCACATTATATAGGAGTGAGCATTCTCTGTTCTTGTAGGTGTAAATTCTTTCAGCTTCATTTAGCAAAGTAGTTGAGTCTTGATTATCAAATCATTTGGTTTCAGATCTTAAGAGCTCATTTTTTTGCTTTGTCAATTTGTGGGTCGCATGTTTATTTTTCTTTTCTTCTTCCCGATCCAGTGATTATGCATATTGAATAAAAGTATTCTAAATAAACCTCACAAATTCTTAAATTCTTTCTAATACACCCCTAAGAATTCAATTGTTAACATTTTATTAAAAATCTCCTGCCCCGCGAGTAAAACAAATGTAGGTCTTCAAACAAATTTCACAAGTAAAATTCACATGGCATTGAATAAAAATTGTTTGGACGAAAACTTTACTAAAGTAACATAATTGAAGGAAAATCATGATGAATGATGGAGAAAAAAAGCATCTGCCACTTCTGCTCTTTTTTTCTTGCCTGGATACCTCCTAATTTTGAATTTTTCAAATATGTACGCGGCAGAAGGGCCCCAAACCCTCATTATTTCCTCAATCCCTTTTTTTCTTTTTCCATCACATTTTTCTGAATGTTTTATAAACAGTCGCGAACAACTTTAATTGCAGGGTGGGATCACATTCTTTTAATAACTTTTACTAAAAAAAAAAATAAAGCCAAAACAAATTAAAAATAAATCGTAGTTTTATTTTCGATAATTTATTCCCAAGTCATATAATTTTTATAATTATTTCAATTAAAAATAAAATATTTTTTATTTAAAAATATAATTATAATAAATTTATTAAAATTTAATTTAATTTAATCGCATTAATTTTTCATATTTACCCTTGTTGTAATTCAAATCCTTTTGTAAATTTTTAATAAAAATTCACTATTTTTTTGCTATTATTGTATCATGAGTTCTTTAGAATTATTACCTTTAGAAATTTTTGGCATTTTCTCTGACTTGTTGAAGTTTTTTAAACCTTAAAGCTCAACGTACTTATGACTAGAAGTTTAAACATCCACAGATATATTTTAAAAATTTCAACTTTTTCATTATGAAAAATGATTAAGAACCAAAACATACACAGGGACTAAATTATTACAGTAAAAAACACATGGTTTGATTTGTAGTAAGTTCAAACCATCTGGCGAATCTGTATTTTGCCTTTACAATTAACATGTATTCTCAAAGTTTTGGTATGGATTTTATGACTCGGTTTAAAGAATAAACACTTTTGTGAAAGTACCCAAATTTTTTTTTTTTAAAAAGTAAACACTTACTAATCAAAATCAAATCACAAAGGCCTTATCAAGATAGGATCATCAAATAGCTTTTTGCTTAAACAAAACGAGAATCGATGAACTTTTGAAAAGCCGACTCTTTTTTCTCATTCTTTAACCTTGCAATATGCTCATCAACCTAATATCAATTTCCTCCACGAATAAAAATCCGGCACATCATACACTTACCGGCTACCACCACCCTCCAATTGGTTAAAGAAAAGGAAAATGAAAAGAAAAAGAAAAAAGAAAAGAATTATCTTGTCTACATGATTTACCTCTATTCAGTTCATCGCTGGAAGTTCTCATCATGACTCGAATTGCTTGCCTTCAAAGGTCTGTCCAAAGTTCCAGTCTTTGGGAGCCACATTGTAAGACAAGATTCTACTCCCATCACTACTAGTGACTTCAAATGAGAGGGGTTGGTTTTTCAAGTCAGCATTTATATGCCAGTTTTGACCCCAGTTCCGACCCATTGAAAGCCATCCAGTTCTCGATCCCTTGATCTTCACCGAAGCTATATCTCCAGCCCCAGCTACGTTGCTGATTAACACTGAAATGAAAATACCTCCACCATCGATTGCAAACCTGATGCCTCCCTCCTTTCTGCACTTTATCCTGTTTTGAAACAAGTTAAACAAAATTTGTGAGGATAAGAAAATTTTTTCAAGATGAGAAAACATAAAACAGTCACAACCCCGGATTCCCAAAAACCTGTACCAGAGGAAAATATTTATCGAAGTAAAAAAAACATTTATCTATAAATTCAAAATGATGGTTATCAAGGTAGCTTAACAGCATTTGTCAGGAATCTCTTTCATATCTTTGTTTCTGCTATTATTGTATGGGCATAAAACACCAACTCGTTTGAAAGATTGGGCAACCTGGCAACTCAATAAAGGAGAAACATCAGAAACATTCGACAAAACTAAGATGAATGAATAAAACCAACTTGTTGCTTAGACCAAAAACCACAATGTTGCCACAGCCCCTAGCACCAACTAAACCTCATCTCTCTAAGTGTCAAATCTTCTCGTTTCATTAAATTCGAGGGCATCCTCAAGGATCTCAAAACTGTTATATTGAAAGGTAATCTTATAAGTTGGATGAAAACAAATATACCACACACGATGTGTAAGCATGCAACAATTTATCATTAAGCAACACTCTTAAATATTTGACAGGGACTTAAACTGACTCCAATTGCACAAGTTTGAAATGTTTCCTGATGAATCAGACAAATCAGAGTTGTATAATCATTCTTGTGTCCAGACTTCTTTTTCTTGAGAATTTTTTTTTTACCAGATTTCAAGGTCATTGACTTAAAATAAATAAGTTCTGATGTAAAAAATAAGTAATTACGTTTTTGCATAAAGCGCTTATTGTGAAAATAAGTTGTTTCTTAAAATAATAAAAACATATTTATTATATTGATTTGTTTTTCGGGTTTATTGAGAAGGAAGTAATTTTATGCTGGAAGTAGAAAAAATAAGTTACCAGCGCAAAAGGATAGAATTTGCTAAATGGCAGGGTTGTGTTCATTATCTAATTTGCTTGCCACACTGCGTGATGCATGTAAAAATAAAATGCATATATAGTTATTAAAAACTATTCACGTTCTTTAAGTTCTTAGTTAGACTCAAGTTTTTTACTTACACAAATTCTGGTTTCTTCAAGGGCATAAATATGTTTCATAAGTTAAAAAATACAGAGACTTTACTAACACAAAACAAACTCTCCTATATCATTTGATAGAGCTATACCTCCAAAAGGAATATGGACGGAGAAAACAGACAATCTCATAGGCACATTTGTCTTATTCCTTGATTCATCATTCCTTTTCTTATATCCCATAGTTTTTTCCCTACCAAATTACTTTTCCAATCAAACAAACCATCAAAAGCTAGCAAATGACAAATAAACTGAAACCTTCCTAAAACATAAGCACAACAGCAAAGTTGCCTCATTTCTTTATGACAATACCATATTAGTACATCATATTAGCAAAATTTCTAATTTAACTAAATTATGGTCCTCTCTAGTCTCTCCTGCGTAATCTATAAAAAAGGTGGTTTACGCTTGGAGCAATTTCATACCCTGCTTATTCTTCTCTTTGTTGCTCTGATTTAGTAAATAAATTGGATTCCAGAGGTCATTATTGTAAAATCAGGCATCAACACTAATGTCAGATCTGTTTAGCGAGAATAATGTACTAATTAACGAAAATACAACCAACTATACCGAGATTTCAATAATAAATAAGGAAATGAAGAACTGAGAATATTGGCGGGAGAAAGTACCGGCGATACTGGACCGGCATGTTACCAGCTTTCCAGACAGCGATCTTCTCAAATGCCTCGATTGGGAGAACAAAGTGTTTGTTCGGAGGATTGCAGTGCCCTCCACCGTCGGCATCAAAACCGTAATTAGGCGCACAGAAATTAGTAGCAGTGACGATAATGGAAGTTCCGGGAATGCACCACCGCAAGTCGTCCACGCACCGGAGCTCGAAACACGCGCCGCAGATCTGCCCGCGCTCGAACAGAGACTCACTCAAACCCACCGTCGCCATTCCATACCCGGCCTTGACCAGGTCACCGTACCCGCACGCGCCGCCCACTGCATCCCGTGGATCCGAGGCCGCGTAGTAGGTAGCGCGCGCGGACCGCCACTCCGACAGCTGCTGGGAGTAGGCGGAAGGAGAGGAGGCTGAAGAAGAGGAAGATAAGTAGTGAGAAGTAACTTGTGGCAGGAGAAGTACGAAGATTAGTGTGAACAGAAGGGTAGAGTGGAGTAGGAAGAATAATGGCGCTGCCATATTTGTTTCTCACAGAGAAAAACGAAGAGACGGGGAAGGTATCTGAGAGAGCGAAAG